GAGATTTTTTTCAAGTTCTTCGGCCTTTTCCTTAGGGAAATTTTGTTTCTTATTTGCTGCTAAAAAATGGCGTCTGATTCAGTCAATGACTTTGATGGAACTAAATGAAAACGTGATAAATTAATGTCCGATATTTACAGGCTCCCGCTAGACGGCGTACTCGAGCGTTGCGATCGCGAATATAATCTGTTACCACCATTTCTTTATAAATGTTAAGCTTTTCTGCTCTGTGGACTTATGCTAACCCTACAGTAGCAAATTTTGGGATTATTATTATTATTATTAAACAAATGCCAGCCATTGGCTACTAGGTCATTAGGCTTCTAGCTCTCCAGTACTTCTTAATAATACAGTCAAAGTCTTTTAGTGCAGAGCACGTGTCCAAATGCGTAGCAGTCATGGCTTGTCATGAGTTATTTTGTGAATATAAAATTGTGCAAAATAAGTTTATACAATGATTCTAAAAAAGTGTAATAAATCCGTATATAGTTTAGTCGGAATGCAAATGACATAAAAAACTTGCACTTTGTGGTGTTTTTTCGATTTAATAATTTAATTTTTATTCGAAACAAGTTGGAGATACTTTAAAAAGAGAATTCAACAATTTTCCGATGCAGATTATGCTGCTGCAATAATCTGCTATTACGTTAAGGAAATACTAATGGAGGAAATAGAATAGAAAATAAAATTGATACACAACACCCTCTTTTCCGCAAAATACGTAATTGGTTCAAACAGGAACAAGGAAACGAACTTGTTATTCAAATGAAAACTTCAAGAATTTTTCGATCTGTACAAACCTCGTGTTACAATTAATTCTATTAAATTCGAAATAATCCGGTTTAAAATAGTCAGATATAAACGGGAGAAATTTAATACACTGAGAAGTAAAATAAGGTTAAAACTAGCAGAGGTTGGTAAATTTTACCAAGTTTCTTGCTCCATGAGAACTCAAAAATCTTATTAATTATTATCGTAGCGATTTGGTAATGATTGATAAAATTAACAATAAAATATAGTTTCAAAACATGTGTTAAAATTTGGGCGACTTGGTAAAGTTTTATCAAGATACTTTAAAGCGAAGTATAAAAACCATTCATTTGGTTCAATTTACTTTTTCAGTTTTGTATTTTTCGCTAAATATGTGGCTTACAATTTTGAAAACTAGAATTTCCGATAAACCGTTATTATATGAAATGATTATAAAATGAATATTATAAGTGCTGTATATTTTGGTTTTATTAATTAGAATTATGTTTTTTTTATTTACTAAAAATGCAGTACGGTAATTAAACTGGCCTTTTTTCTTCGTTTATAATTAAATAAAAATGTTATTTCTGTAGAAGTTAAAAACGAAGCAGTTTGTCAACAATAAATTCATCCTCTCTTATGGTATAGTTTCTATATATCGAAAAAATAAACACCACTAATAATTTTTTAAATTTTACAACACTTTAAATTTTTTGTTTTATTGTTACAATTCTTTGTTCCTCATTGTTGAAATTCCTAAATATTTTATCAGCATTGCTAATTGGCGGGCATTACGCATTTTAAAATTTAGATTAAGGAAACTAAGCCGATTTGTCCTTCATCAAGAATTCAATAACTCATGTATCGCCATAGATTGTAGGAGGCTAGTTGAAAATGCATCCTTCCCATAAAATCTTGAAATGCATCATCCTGATTTGCCTCATTTGCCAATCGTCGTTCTTTCCTTTCGGCAATGATGATCATACTTGCTTCTTACCTTTGTTTATTTTCCCTTTTTTCCTTTTCCTTTTTTCCTCTTTCCTTTTTTTCTTTCCACTTTTTCCCCTTCTTCGCTTCCAACATTGCGTTTCTTTTTTTTTCAAATCTGTTTTATTTTCAACTTTTACGTGTTGGTGGGTCTAGAAAATGCACGCCTGCTTAGAGCACTCAAAATATGACAATCATTTCTATTCAAACGTAAATTCAAATTCTTAAGTGAAATTAATTAAACAGGAGGTAGAAAAATAAAAATAACCATAACTACATTAATTCAAATTCAAATTGGAACAGCGCACAAGGCAGCTAAAACCAAATTCAAATCATATAAACTAGTAATAATATNGGGCACTGTTAGTTTTGGCTTTGCCACTAACAACAGAAAGGCTCCTGTGTGTTTACAGACAGTGTGTCCCCTGATGAAGTGCTGCTCTGTAAACACACAACTTTATTTAAATTATATTTAAATTATTTTTGAGTAAATTTATATTATTACTAGTTTAATCATTTCTATTATAATTTTTGAAGTTGCTTATTTCTTCAGGTAAATTTGATCTCTTATATATATATATTTAAGTGAATGTTCTAGAAACTTCGAAAACATACCATAAATAATAACTAAAATCTTAAGCAGCTTATATGCATATTTACATACTTCTAAAGTCTTTTTTGAAATCGGGAGAGCTTAGGGGATTGAACTCAGGAACTCCGGCTTGTCAAGTGAGTGATTATATTATATATATACTACTACTACATTACTTAAAAAAACATACTCAATTACTCAGACTACAAACAGTTAAAGAATCTAGTTAAAGGGACACGGTTTTCCAGACAAATGTAAGCACATTACTTTTCATATTATTCCTTTTGAAGAAAAATTAGATAAGTAGTAGATATACATTATATAGAAGTTGAACAAAAATTTTATCAATTTTCTGCCCTCTGAATCAGTGACAATTGAATTTAAGGCACAAATCGTCTGGTCTTAACTGTGTCCCCTATTATGAGGATAGACATATTAATTTGCGACTTCACAAATGTATAATTTTTTTAATTTCATTTTTTACATGGATTTTTAAAGAAAAACATTAAACTCGAGCACTCTGTAGTGTGACTTTATGTATTGGGAACAAAATATTTAATATTAGGAAATAGGTAACATTTTGAGTTCAGTAAGACAAAGGATCAAAGAGAAGCAAAATTTACAATTTGTAGGAAGGTTTCAAAAATGACGTATTTCCGTTTGTACAAAAAAATTTGTGCACATGCATGTTCAGCATTAATTATATTTAAAAGACATTCAACATCATTGAATTCTAGAGAAAAAAAAGTAATCCAGATTTTTTTTATCATATTTTTATTTTTTTAACAGTTATTTTTCTTTGATGTCCTTGCTTTTCAAATTCTTTTGACGATAAGATTTTAGATAAAAATTGATAAAGAGTCCCAGAACAGCTGCTACAAAAAGAAAAAATAACACTTCAAACACTTCAAATTCTTCACAACCAGTGAAAAGTCCAATTACGCCATATAGCAACATCATGATGAACTGTCCCTGAAACGGAAAATTCTTCATTGAATTTAATTGTTAATATGAAAAGTGCCCATTAAACATTACCCAAAATATAAGTTATCACTTTTCAACAAATCGTAAGAGCCGCTGTTGGTTTGGGTGCTTAACTTCATGTTATAGTTTATTTTGCTGCGCAAAAACTGTAATACTTAGAAACTAAAAATTACAAAGAAGTTTAGAAAATGCCTGAAATGCGATGGAATGAAAAAAAGTTAACAATCGATAATAATAACAACGGACTATTCAATTTTGCTTTGTGCGACTTTAAACTCAGCCTACACTACATGTTAAACTTCAAACTCTAAAAATAAAATAACATTGGAAGAAATTAAAATAAAGCTTCACAATTTTATATTTTTTATCTGGGTTTTTTTATCTGGTTTATTTATCTGGTTAAAGAAATTTTATTCACCTTTTAATAATAAAGTATAATAATATTTACTAATCAGTTGTGTACAGGAATTTTTCAATTAGCTTAAAAAGTTCTCAAGATATGTTAAAGAAAGAAGTAAAATTAACATTAAAGGGTCCAAACTTTGCACAGTTCTCTTTACTAAACTATTGAAACCATATTTCTCTGATTGCGACTACTCCTTAAAATTTAAAGTCAAAAAACCAAATTCATCATAAAAAAAGTAAGTTTATTCAGAGAAAATGCATTTATGTGTTTTATTTCGTAACTTAAAATATTGTCTGCACTAATTAATTAGCATATTCAACGTCCCCCCCCCCTTGAACCATGAAGATTACATCTCAGAAAGTTAAGATCCGATCATTAGATCAAAAGTTATTTCGGTTGCTCATTTTTTATTTTGAGCACTGTGCACGAGGAGCATGTTTTAAAATAAAGGGCATCTTTCGTACATAATTTGTGTTGAAAATTAATGATCCATTACTAAATGTACTGTGTGTTAAAATTCTAATTATAGAAGTTTCATAACTGCATTTTTAAAAAAAGCAACATGAACAATTGCTAAATCTTATTCCTAATCTTATATTGTTTAATTTTATTGTGCTAAATCTAATATTATCATACTTACTATTTGTATTAGTGTTAAATATTTTTTCCACCACAAATACTTTTGCACACGAGGTCCTACAGCGGCAAGCCCATAATATAAATACATTATAACATGCACTGCTAAGTTTATTGCCACTGCGAACGCAAAATAAAACGCTGAAAAAGAAAACAAAATAGAATTTACAGTAGGAGAAATTTGTTTGAAATTTTTGTAACTATGAAACAGGTTGAAATAATATAAAATTTGCAAAAATTTTAAATGAATGCCGAAGTTTATATACTTTTGAAACCATGTAAAATTTCAACATGTTTTCCGAAATATTAAATAAATGACAATTCTAACCCTTTGCTTACGACGCTTAGCATGTCATTCTGGTTCAATTGTTGCACCAGCACTAAGGGAAAGATTAGAAATTTTTTCCAAGTATATTGAAGATTAGTACCCAACATCTCCAGTTCAGTTTTGAACACTCTAATATAAGTAGTCGAAAAGTCATTGAAATTTAGAAAGATGAAAATGTTACTTATAGCGGAAAAAGAAAAAAAATTTAATTTGTTTTGTCTCCCTCCAGTCCAGTTGATGCTCGAGTAAAGATTTAGTACGTTCATTAAGTTGAAAGTCGTTAAAATTTCATTCATGACATCTCCTTCGGGGCGATGATACGGCAATTAATTTTTCTATCAGTGGTCAAGATAGGTTTGAAACATGTTTTACCAACCTCCAGTAAACTCAATGCACCGGTATAGATTTTAGCACATTAATTAATCAGAAAATAGTTTGAATTGTACTTAATATATTTTCTTTGTGGTGATAATATGGCCATAAAATCTACTGGTAGCATTCAAGAAACGATTAAAACCTACTTTATCATAGGAAAATGAAACTCTGATAGGGAATTAATTACTGTAGTTAGTTTAAAAGAGATCAAAATTTTCATTCTAAGATTTGACCCTCACAGACATGTAAGAGAGTTAGGAAAAAGTATGTGTTCATGAATTGATCAATAATAAATTTTTCATAGCCTCAATTTTTTTATACATTTTTTTAAAAAAAAAAAAATTTAGATTTATTTTTTTAAAGCATAAGGATGATTTTGTATTCCTCAGTCAATATCATTTTATTTTTGTTTATTTAGGTGAAAACATTTCGCATAAAATTCTGAGTTATGAGGATTTCTTTCTTTGAATTCTTAAGAATAGGCTGTGCATATTTAGCGATTTGTGGATAACTTCAAATTATTATTTATAACTTCAAATTATATGGCAATTATCAAATTATTATAATTATTATATTCCAAATTATTATGGGAATGAAAAAAGTACTAAATTTATTCATAACAGGAAAAATATTGTGGATAAGAAAAATCTTGTTGCAAATTCATTTGATGGAGCATGAGTTTTACTTTGAGTTATACTTCTCATACTTACTTTTTTGCAGTAAATAAAAAAAAATCACATCACAATTTTTCGCAATAATTCAATGAGCATTTTTATGATATCTTCGAAACATAAACCGTATGACACAATCACGTGGTGAAATTTTTGTACATCAAAGCGAACTCGTAAAAGCAAAAAGGGAACTTATGACCTCATCTAGCAGAAAATATAAGAATTAAAATTAGAACTTATGCTTGTAACATGACTTTGCTGCAAAAATTGTTTTCACATTAATTCTAGCTTTTTCCATCCGGAAATTTTTTAAAACCGTCAGTTTAATTTAGAACACCCAGTTTAAGCTGTCTGAAAAGTTGTGCACATTATGTAAACTGTTTCAAAATTTCCTATCTTGATTTCAAATCTCATATTACTTTAAAGTCTTGACTGATTATTATGAGAATGTTAGCTACTTGAAAACAATAGTACAGATTTTACATGCAATCTCAAAATTTATGAATTTATGAATCACATTTTATGAATTATCTCAAAATTTCCTATCTCATTTTATATGCTTATCTTACTTTTGAATCTGGGGGGATTATAATAGGAATATAAGCTACTTGAAAACTGTGGAACATATTTCATAAGCTGTCTCAAAATTTCCAAGCAATTTAAAAGAAAACGAATTGTGTTCGATTGAAAGATGCTCTCAGAAAAATCTTTCAATTAATTTATTTTCCTATTCGTTCTTTTGTTTGCATTGCTTAAGATTAGATTTCAAAATTCTATAGTGTTAATTATTTTTTCATCTGCTCAAGCCAGTTTTACGTGAGTAAGTATAATTATTTATTAATAAATTGTTTAACTTTACATATTTTAAACCACTTTTTCCTATTTACTTCCTTCAGACAAAAATAGGAAAATTCGTTTTAATAATTTCAACTTGTTTAAAAATTAAAAAAATGACTGAAGTTTTGTATTTTTTCTTCCTAATTTTAATTAATGAAAAGTACCTTCAGATAGGTATTTGGATTTATTTTCTGACTTTAGCGTATAAGTTAGTAACATAACATTTTTATAGGTTTTTACATCTGTTCACTTAGAAAAAATATGGTCCAAACCACCAGAATATGGCATAATTTACCGTCTTTCTGGCTGTAAGTGAACAGCAAAATTTTTCGTAATTTTTACCAAAGCATTTAGGTAATTAATTTGATAAAATCCAATATAAATATATTCAATAATTCAAAATTCAATCAGAATTTATATCGATACAATAAAAACGATTTTATAATATTTGACAAATTTTAGTAAATGTGGTAAAATTTAGCAATTTTATCATGATACCTTAGCCTTTGAGCATCGCATAAAAACCATATATTTGGATAAATTTACATTCCAGTTTTGAATTTTTTACTAATGGAATGGTGATAAAAACTATAATTGTGAAAATCAAATTTTCCCTCAAATAATTACCATATGAACGGAAAATTTCCAAATAATTGCTAAGTAATAAGTAATTTTTTATTTGAAATTATTAATTAATTATTTAATTTGCATTNATGCGTATATACACTCTATCATGATACCTTAGCCTTTGAGCATCGCAAAAACCATATATTTGGATAAATTTATATTCCAGTTTTGAATTTTTTACTAATGAAATGGTGATAAAAACTATAATTGTGAAAATCAAATTTCCCCTCAAATAATTACCATATGAACGGAAAATTACCAAATAATTGGGTTAAATGCCTTGTAATATGTTTCTATTAAGCAGAATAATGGTTTTTATCATACAATACAGTAATTTTTGCTTTATTTTTTTTCTCCGTGTAGATAACTATTAAATAAAAAAAAACTTATAAAATACCTTTTTTAACACCTACTAAGAAAGACTATTGAATATATTCTCCAATTTTTACCCCTAGCATTTCATTTTCAATTTTTATTAAAAACGTTCAAATTTTTAATTTAAAATGATACTTCTTACCTACTCTCATTAAACTAAAGCCACCTAAAAAGAAAAGAATTACTAAAGTGTGATGAAACAAATGTAAAAATGTAATGTTAGCATCTTTTTTCCGAAGAGCAAAAAGGATCTGAAAAAAAACGAAACACAAATCACATTTAAATAAATAAATTAAATAGTATTTAACAAACCAATTTCAAAAAATTTTCAAATTATAATAAACTGAAAAAAATTCCAAAACCAATATTAATAAAACAATAAACAAAAAAATATTTTCGTTAAAACTTTATTAAACATATTCATTATTAAAACTACTCATTATATACATTATTAACCTCTACTACATGTTCATTATTGCTCTAACTACATATTACTTTAACTACATATTATCTAACTACATATTCATTATTACCAAATTAACCAACGATAGCTTAACCAACTGAAATAGCGCCATATCAAAGCATATTTCAACACCTAAGTTGTTGAACTTTGAAACACAATAGTAAAATATATCTTTTTTTCTGATTCACAAAAGGTTTTTCCCATATTGAATCAAAATATTGTAGTGGTCAATAACTTGAAATATTTATCATGTGTCAATATTTATCGTTGTCTATATTTTTCTACACTTATCTTAGATCGATATTCTTTTGATTTATATCATGAATTTGATACTAATTTTTAATCAATATTTATAGCAGTTGATATTTCAACAGAAGTATCTAGATACTAATCGTAGTATAGATAGTATTTATTAAAAACCATTAATAAACATGATAGCAGTAAGCAACATTGGCGTCAATGACAATATGGCAATTTTGACGGTTTATGCATACGAATAAGTACCCTTTCTCCTTTAATTTAGCTTTTTTATACAAATTTATATTAATTTGTATCTACTACCAAAAAGAATTAATTGTAATTCTTGGAAATAATGAGTAACGCCACTAATATTTTTATTATGACTTCTTGAGAACTAAATAAAATCGATACTTATTTCGAATGGCGTAAAAAATAGCCAAACTATTATAAAGCTAGAAATTAGTAATTAAATGTGGTATTTAAATACTATAGATGTTGCCGTTATAGGTACTGTGATACGTTATAGGTGATACGTAATAGGTGTAAAGAGAACCTATTCTACCAAAATAGATGCCCAATATAGGTTGTGGGTTTTCACCGTCCACTCAAACAGATAAGTAATATATTAAGACTGTCCTACACATTCATGACACCTAATATACAGCCTCTGTTTCTTTATTATTTGTTGCACATTCCGGTGCGGTTACATGCTATTTGATTTACCATAATATGAAGTAGAAATACATTTCGTCGAAAGAAAGATTAAAAGCAATTCACTAAAAGAAGAAGTATATAATATTATTTAAAAATTGTTGTTCAGAAAGTATCCTAATTTTTCTAAGGCTCAATCAAAGACTTCAATTCTATTTCATTAGTTCTTGTTGTGTGTATTTAAGTTTATAGAGACACGCTTTTAAACCCCAAGTATCAATAAAGGAAACACGTGACTTCATATACCTTTAAAAATACAATTTCGGTGACGTCATCACCATACATCGCCAAAAATTAACGTAGCTCTGACTTGTGATTACGTGACATATGAAACCAGGGTAAATAATTTTAAAAATGCGCGATAAAACTAATTTTTGAATGGTTAGAGCTGCAATTTAGTAAATTACCTTATTTTAAAATGTTATCAAATCATATGGAATATTCCGACTTTGGGATGTAGAGAGCAAACGGGTGGTTGGAGGTAGTTTTAAAGTAGAGAGTTAATTCCGCCGTGTCTTCGAACATATGAATGATGCGTTCTACAGTAGGGAGCGATGTAGGCTCTTTACCGCCCAGATTTCGGGGTTACTGAATCTGGTGTACTTTGAGATCATTCAACTCAACGCGCTAAGTGTGAACAAAGTAATTAATTAAAAGATAGTGCATGTAGTCACAAAATAATAAACATGAATGGGGAAACGGTAATAAACGTAAAGTTTAAGATGTAATAAAAACTTAAAATTATATTAGAATTAAAATCGTTAAAAAAAAAAAACATTTTACCTTGTCAACAATATACTAACTTCGAAATTTAAATCTGAATTATCATTTTCAAAATTAACTTTATCTCGTTGCTGCAGTTAAATACTGACAATAGCATTTACATTGTGCACTTCTTGCAACACGAACAAAGAGAAATAAACAAGTAAAAAGAAATTAAATCAAGACTGCAAAAAAAGCAAAGTTCTTTATAAGTATAACTCTAGAGCCTCACTTCTAAAATGACCCTTTAATCTTGAAATACAGCAACATACTGCGTATGGTGGAATTAATGTTTTCTTGGTCTGGGAGTACTGCAACGGTTGAAAGGGGCTTTTCAGCAATGAACTTACAAAAAAACACATTACACACTGGTCGTAAACGAGAAGCGTTAAACGCAATTATGAACATCTACCTAAATGGAAAACTCTTTTCAGATTTCTGTGCAGAAACCTCTGTAAATCATTGGCTTGATTGTGGAACTGGCAAACGTCATATTTGATTCATTTAAAAAAACGTAGTACCCTCAGATAAATTGACATTCCAGATAACTTGACCTTTGTCATTTAAATTATTTCATAAAAGAAATACTAGGTTACTATTAGTAACGTAGTATTTCTTTTATTACTGTATAATGCAATCCTAGTAACTGCTAATTCATTGTGCACTTTATATAAATGTTTGTAATAAATATGAGAAAATTATATTTATTTAGAAGCGACGGGTTAGTTTCAAAGGAGGACGGGTACATTGCTGGACAAGCCATCCTCGGGGACGGGTAAAATTTCTGAGTTATTTCGAGTCCTGCTCTCTCAATAAACAGTAGCAAGTAGCTCTAAAGTGTCTAACCGGAAATTGCGCGGGTAAGAAACTCGAGATTTGTTTTTGTGTATATTTGTATTCAAAACTCTATCCATTTACATCTATTTCGTTCATATTAGTTCAGAATTTCAGAATTGTATATATATATGCGTATATACACTCCTCAAAAGTGAAATTGCAACACCAAGAAATAATACACGCAGCGTCATGCAAATTTCAGGAGCGATAGTAGTGAGACGGATACGTAAATGATTAAATTTGCGCACGCATCTGATCACGTGGTACGCATTTTCGGGCTATAAAGGCCAGCAATTTTCCCTTCTCATAAACGGTATCTGAGGTTTTGCGTAGCATTTGCGACTTTCGAAAAAGCGTAGAAAATGCCTCTGAGACGTCTGCGAGCTCAATACCATCAGTTAACGACCTAGGAACGTGACCGTATTATCGAACTCCATGAACTTGGTTTGTCGCTGCGCGCAATAGCAACTCGTGTTGGGCACAACGTGAGTACCATCCAACGTTGTGTCACACGATGGATTCAGGAAGGTCTACGTGCACGCCGAAGAGGAAGTGGTGCGCACAGGTGCACGTCAGAGCACACAGACCGACGTATTCGCCAGTTGATTATTCGAGACCCTTTCTCCACGGCACGTGCCATCCGAAGCCAGTTGCCTTCAAGAGCAGGTGGATCTGTGGCCACCCAAACCATACGCAACAAATTGCATGAAGTACAGTTATGTGCACGGGTACCAGCAACAAGGGTACCGTTGACCGCCTTACAGAGCTAGACGCCTGGCGTGGTGTCATCGTCATCGTACCTCGACCATCCAATGGCATCGAGTATTGTTCACGGATGAATCTCGTTTCTGTCTGTAGAAAAATGACGGCCGTCGACGGGTATGGCGGTGACCCGGAGAACGCTACGAACCAGCCATTACGCCGAGCGTCACAATGATCCTACACCGGGCATCATGGTTTGGGGTGGCGTAATGTTTGATCGCAGAACGCCCCTGGTACACATTCACGGCAGTTTGACAGCGGACCGCTACGTCACACAAGTTGTGTATCCCATTGCTCTGCTCTTGTTGCAGGGCGCACCCAACACGGTATTCCAGCAAGACAATGCCAGGCCGCATGTCGCACGGCGAACTCTTAACAGCCTGACTGGATTTGACATCCTTCCCTGGAAGGCAGCCTCTCCAGATCTGAATCCCATGGAACACCTATGGGATCTCATTGGACGCAGCATGAACAGAGGACCAATGGCGCAAACCATCGATAATCTGCGCACAGCAGTGGATGTAGCTTGGCAAAGGTTACCTCAGGCAACCATCAATGGAGTCATTGATAGCATGCCTCGCCGGATTAAGGCCTGTATAGCTGCCCGAGGTGGCCACATTAGATATTGAATAAATTGCTTCATAATGATTTTACTAGTCTGTTTTTTTAATCATTTGCATATCCATCTCACTACTATCGTTCCTGAAATTTGCATGACGCTACGTGCATTATTTCTTGGTGTTGCAATTTCACTTTTGAGGAGTGTATTTAATCTAGTTGATATAAAACAGAAATGAAGAA